ATATAATATCATCATATTCCTATAAAGTAATTTACGTAATTAATTATTATATAATATCATTATATTACATGGATATGTATATTTGCTTGTTATTGATTTTGCAATAAACTTAATTCCATAAAGTAAAATACGCTTAAATGGATTATTTTAAACCGTGTTAAAGGAAACCGTGTAAATCGAGTACAGTTTAAAACGTATTGGCATGTAATTGTATAATTGAAATTATACAACTTTATTATATAATATCGTGAAAGGAATATGACGATATTTACATAATTAACACTTGAAGATTGAAGAATTTAGCTTCTGAAGTGTTTTTTTATTATATAATATCATAATATTTCATGGATATGTAAAGATAATTATATAAAGTCACACGTACTTATTACACGTAGAATTATCGTTGAAGACTAGAGAATATTTCTTGGTATTATTGCAAAGTCTTAGTGAAATATTAGGTATATTAAATGCAAATGTGGGCTGAGGAATTAAGCAAATAATATTCATTTCGTAAATAGCTTTATTATTCAACTAGTCTTTAGAGAATTAGGTTGAACTCTGATTCATGATATTCCAAATAAGATTAACATTAATACATAAAAGCTTTCAGTTTCTTTACTTGTTTAATCACAAACTTATATAATTTAATGTATCTTTGTGATATTTTTATGAGGGTAATTTTCGTTTACCAATACGAATCTTGTTAAAAAATCCATTAGTTTAGCACTGAAAGAGTGGCAAAAATATGGCAAAAATTAAAATTTATATGAACACAAAATAGTAATAATATTACGACATTCTTCTTTTTGTAGTAGTATTAAAGGTGTGTGATTATATTAGTTCATTAACCGAATAACATTAATATTATTATATAAAAACTTTCAGTTTGTTTACTTGTTTAATCAGAAATGTATATAATTTAATGTATCTTAGTTATTTTTGTATTATTGTATTTTTGGTTTACTAATACGAATTTTACAAAAAAAAACATTAGATTAGCACTGAAAAGGTAGCAGAAATTAAGAGAAACAAAAATATTAACAGAAAATATTAATAATTATATTTTCCTATTCCTATTTTTTTACTAATATTAAAGGTGTGTGGCAATATTAGTTCATTAACTGAATAGATGAAGAATGTTACGAAACTCACAACTCATCAGTCTTGTCGTCGTCATTTTGTTTTAACTCTTTTCTTCTTCATCAGTTTTGAATAGTTTAGAACGGAATGGAAACTTAAAGTGAGCTCATTTCAATGTGGGTCGCAGCTGCGGCTGTATGTCTTCAGAAAACACACATAATTCGCCACTAGTTTGTGGCTCGAAATAAGTTCAGTAAGGTTTAATTAAAGATCTGCAAAAGTCACAGGTGGCGCCGGATTATATCATTTTCCGAAAAAGATTTGTACGCAGAAGTTTTCCATCTCAAGGAAATGAAGAAAATTTAAATCGAGTTCTGAATTCGACATTATTTCTCAAGAAAACAATTAAGCTGGGACAAAAAAAAACATCAAAATGCATTGCATTGTATTAAAACAATCTTTAAGAAAGAAGATTAAAACGTAAAGTTTAGAAACTGTTGTTATACACAACGATATAGTTTAAAGCCAGATAATTTTCTACTTAGCTTTAAAATTCTTTAAAAGTTTGTTTTCTTATGTAAATTTGTAATTCTGCAACAAAAGCTTTCTTAAAACTTGATTTTTACTACTAAGACTTTATTGATTTACGTTATAAAATTATAAGAATATTAATTAATTATTTCTCCCATGAAACTTGATTTTACTACTAAGAAATATTCAATTGGTGTAGTTCATATCATGATCATTCTCAAGGTCATAGAGGAGAGTAATCTCTGGATTTATGATGCTTTTCGTCGACGATGAATTCGTGGCATTTTTTACGGTGGAAATAAAATAAATATATGAGAGGTAAAGCGAAAAAAAAAATTATATATGTATGTATAAAATAAGGAATTACGTATGCATCGGACGTTCCTTCTGGTACAGTAAAATTTTTTACAGACAAGCAGTAAAAACGTGCATACGCACGCCGTAATTTGTAGATATATAAGTTATAAAAATAGAGATATATATCGGCTCGAAGAACGGAAGTAAAATGCAAATCAACGGTCGTTCTCATCCTTGAAAATTATCATCCTTCAAATATAAAATACAGACTTCTTTCTAGATGTAAATGTTAAGGAAAACATTCACACTTTGGAATTTAAATTCATTATTTATATATTTTACTTCAATAATTATTTAACTTTAAAAAAACATATAAATCATATAACTTGAATTATTTAAGTTTAATATGTGTAAATTGTGTAATAAAGAAGTCTGTATTTTAGTTATAAAGTCCTAAAATACAGACTTCTTTTAGGATATAAACTTTTAGTTGCGATTTTTTTGATAATTAGTTTTCAATTAATGATGAAAATTTCTATTTATACTTGAAAATTTACTGAAATATTACAATTAGTAGTTTATAACTATTACTTATATCTATAATATAAATATTTTGTTTTAGTATATAGAAATATGTGTATGTTATATAATAAGTAATAAATACAAGTGACTTTATAAAGTAATCTGTTGTTGAAGTGAGTAAGACAAAAGTTGTTTACTTTTTTTTTTAAATCTCTCGTAGAAGAGAATCTCTGTACGTGATGCGGTTTCAACGTCTTCTGTAATTTAACAGCGTTATGAATGGGAAGCAATTTGTAGCGGAAAACCGCGAGTCATCTGGAACTGCTCCACGGCAGAAATTGATGCTGTCTCCGCTGCAATATAGATGACATTTCGAGTAAAACTTCTTTTCTTCCTCCTCGAGTTATCTAAAATTAATGTGGCGAGAGAAGGACGATTCGAAGAAAATATATGTATTACCACAGAAAAGGGAAATAATCGAGGGATGGAAATAAATTGGAAGCTTCATCCAATAATTCTCTTAAGACATCGACGAACTCAATTACCAATCTTATGATTTGTGATTACTCCAGATTATTATTTTAACTACATTTATTTAATAAATTTAATAGAATTATATAATTTAATGTTAATTTTATTTAAATATATTCAAATTGCATAAGTATACATACAAAAATGATGAAACTAAGAAAGTTGACTTGATTTTTTTTTCTTTCATTATAAAACTGTCTGGTTGTAACGGTGGAATCCGTATGGTTGGTCTATAAAGAAAGGTAGTATTATTGTTATCCGAACCTTAATCCCCAGACAGTTCCAGCCCTCGTGCATTATAGCTTACCTCGCAGACGAGAAAGGAAAAGTACGGACTACAAATCTACCGAAACGCATACCCCGATTTACGACCATCTACATAAGAATACATTATATATGAACGAACAAAACTAGCGGAAAGAAACATTCTTGCATCCTTAAATTGAGAAAACACGTTCATTTTTTTTTCCATTTCTCTTCCTGCACGTACATTGTTAGGATTTGTTATATTCACTGCTTTCATGCAGTTTTATTACAGCAGCTTATTCGCAATTTGTTTGCATTTATTTTTTTTATCTTAACTGAAACGAACATTTTTTATTCAATTTAATTGAAGAAAATACTTTTTTTTGAAATATTTTCAGTAATAAATTAATGATTTATAATATTTGTAAAGATGTGACTTGTTGTTACTGTAAAGTTTTTTTTGTTGCTTTTAACACCTTTGTGAAAGTACCAATAATATCGTTAAAATATTGAAATTCTAAGCTGAAAGTATTTTTTTAGTCAATTTAGTTGAAAAATTTACGTTTTTGAAATATTTTCAGTAATAAATTAATGATTTCTAATATTTGTGAAGATTAAAACTTTGTGAAGGTGTGACTTATTGTTAATGTGAAGTTTTCTTTGTTTCTTCTAACACCTTTGTGAAAGTACCAATAAGATCGTTAAAATATTGAATTTTTAAGCTGAAAGTATTTTTTTAGTCAATTTAGTTGAAAAATTTACGTTTTTGAAATATTTTTAGTAATAAATTAATGATTTCTAATATTTGTGAAGATGTGACTTGTTGTTAATGTAAAGTTTTCTTTGTTTCTTCTAACACCTTTGTGAAAGTACCAATAATATCGTTAAAATATTGAATTTCTAAGCTGAAATTATGTTTTTAGTCAATTTTGTTGAAAAATATAGTAATAATTGTAAAGAAAAAGGTTTTGTAAAGATGTAACATGTTGTAAATGTAAAGTTTTCTTTGTTGCTTTTAATACCTTTGTGAAAGTACCAATAAGATCGTTAAAATATTGAATTTCTAAGCTGAAAATATTTTTTTAGTCAATTTAGTTGAAAAACATACTAATAATTGTGAAGAAAAAGGTTTTGTAAAGATGTAAGTATTTTTTAGTCAATTTAGTTGAAAAATATAGTAATAATTGTAAAGAAAAAGGTTTTGTAAAGATGTAACATGTTGTAAATGTAAAGTTTTCTTTGTTGCTTTTAACACCTTTGTGAAAGTACCAATAAGATCGTTAAAATATTGAATTTCTAAGCTGAAAGTATTTTTTTAGTCAATTTAGTTGAAAAATATAGTAATAATTGTAAAGAAAAAGGTTTTGTAAAGATGTAACATGTTGTAAATGTAAAGTTTTCTTTGTTTCTTCTAACACCTTTGTGAAAGTACCGATAAGATCGTTAAAATATTGAATGTCGGCTCAAGTGGAGAAGCCTATCGGGGCCGTAATATAGATTAATAGTGTCCATTAATTAGAAGAAGCGCGTCGAGGGCCGTAATGGCACTGTAATAAAACGTACCATCCCTTATTAGTTACTGAAGGGTCGACGGGTCCTAGAAAATAGCCTGCCATGAATTAATGCGCGGCTAATTAATAAGTAGCTACGTGTGTATAGCCGCAACAACGGCAACCCTTTCTTTTTGTAGCAAGTTTTTGTTGTTCTTCACTTATCTTTTGTAATGAAAAGCCTTTTGTTCCGAACGCAGTGATGGAGGAGAGCTCTCACATTAATATGCATTCTTCTTCCAGGGTTTTCGAGCTTTTCACATGGTTGGTGGAAATCACCGAAGACGCGGCCGAACCGTACGAGGATGCGAAAATCGTCTGGTCAGCGAGATACGAACCACATCAGGATGAGTCTGCAGGAGGAGGAGCAGCAGGTGGAACCAACGAGCCCCACAGGATGGGCGGCACCAAATCCGCAACCAGACTGGACATACAAAAGGATGACATCCAAGCCGTAGTACCAATTAGCAAAGTGAGTCCAGTTTCATTATTCCCCCAACGAATACAATACTTTTACTGCAACAAAAAGGACAAACATGATCATCTTACAGACGTATGATTGTCTCTATTGATCAAATAATATTATGCAACTCAAGTATCAAAGTATAACATTAGAGAGTATTTAAAATAAGGACAGAATCTCCTACATCAGTATTGGCTTTTCAAATAAGTAACTGATCCTAGTGTGTGTGTGTCTATAGATACGTGGCTTACTTCCTACAAAAGCGCTCTCCACCAAAGGACATAAAAGAGAGGAGGCCTCGAGAATAACAATCGTCCTTCCCTATTCCCTTTGTTGTCTCACCGCACAACAAACAGCAACGGTTTTAGCCTCACATTCAACGAAAACCACAAAAGTTTATTGTTGTTTGTTGCTATTATTATTATTATTGTATCCTTCAGAGCAAAAATTCTAGAAAGCCAATTACATTCCATATCAATATTGCTTAATTTTTCTGATTGGAAATGATTAAGTTAAATTAGTTGAGGATGATGAAATAAATTGATGCGTCGTCGTCGGTATTAGGAGTTGGGGATTAGATTGGGTGGATGGCGGTGGTATTGGATGGATTAAAGGGGAACATCCAGTGTGTGTGGAGGTTTTACAGACGGATGCGGATGGCGGCAGTTAGTTTTAGCTGCAATAAGTTGAGACGTTCTTGGAGCAACTGGCAATATCCGCTTTTCCAAAGCCAATATCTCACGTATCAGATGTTATTATAACATTTTCAGCTGGTGCCCCTTGCTTTCGCATAGTTGTGTTTGCCAATACAACCGCCCTCAAAAATTCAATATCTTCAATATTTTAATACAAATTCCTTGCAAATCGTTAAAATATAAGATCACAATTTTACTTACAATTTAATCAACAATTTCTTAAACAAAGAAAATAAGGTATAAAGATATATTCAATGTATGCTGAGAAAAATGTAATTAAAATAGTTGTCGCATATTTTCTATGCTCTTATTACAAGGGTCTCATTTGGCTTAACACGTTTTCAAAGTTCTGAACTAGTTTTACATTGAGAAGATGGGAAGAGGTAACTCAAACTAGAATTCTCCCTCTCAGTTTACATCCCATCCCTTGCAACGTTTTAAGCCCCCGTCTAGTTCATTAGGAACGTTCAAGGACCTGCCTTCTCTCAAGCCAAGTGGATCGAATGAAAAAGCTTCATTTTTCATATGTTTTCAGTACGTTGCGACGTCGATTTAGATCGGACGAGTTAACGTGAACGCAATAAAAGAAATGGAGAAGCCCAGAAATGTGGGAATTGCGTCGAAAAGCGAATTGAATTGGACACAGTTGACGTAGAATAATAGAGGAATTGAATTGAATTATCACTATCCGAGCCGTTCGTCGACTAGGAAACGCGCATTACGGATTCATCGATATTTCAATCTATTATATAATGGGCTCTGTTTGCTGGAATTGATTGGATTCATCCAACTAAATTAATAAATCCGATGCGCTGCAATCAGAACTTTGCTGTTCGTACATTACATACACGTGTATGTAGAAATTTGCGCAAATTTTATGTAGCGTTGTTTTTGCGAATTACATTTTCTGCGTAATTACGTTACGAGCATATTACGTAATGGGGTTTCGAAAGGGGGGCAAGAGGCAGACGCACTTTGCAAACAATTAAATTCGCCCATCCTCTCTCTCTCTTTCTCTTCCTCTCCAGATGCTGCTCCTCAGGAGGCGCATTTAGTTTATGGATCTTCGAGCATTAATTCAAATCCTCGTCTCTGCTTAATTTTAATTCTGTTACACAACGAAATCACTTTGTTACATTTAAAATATTAGCAAGCTTATATGGAAATGTTAATGCTTTTACTAATACTTAATTTGATTATAAAGATTAAAGCCAACATTTAATCTCAATATTATTAAAGTTTCCATTGATTATGAATAATTTTAAGTTGTTTGTTGTTTATGTAATGCTTGTTTTCAATGAAGTGGAAAAGCGTGTGAATTGTGGAGTGGTTCGGGGATGCATATAATTTGTGGTCGTGAACTAAATTGCCTAAATTATTGAACCGTAATTGGATTCGAGCCATATCTGCGATACGGATGGCAGCTATACTTTGTGTCGCCTCGTTAGAGTTGATGTTTGAATGGATTTAAAGCTTTCCTCTTGTAATCTCGTTGCAGAATTGGGAGGTACTAAATACTGCAGTCCTGACGGGTCGCCAAGTGTCCCAAGCGATGAAAGTATTCATTGTGTCTCAGGCAGGTAAAGCTGCCGACGTCACGTTCCAAGCCTCCTGTCACTCCGAGGACGACAGCGTCCTAAAGGTAACTGCAGAATCCCGCTCTTAAAGAAGAACTTGAATTAAACACTCTTTTCCGCAGATATCATCCTCTTGCAGTTCTGTGTATGTGGATGGTAGCGAGGCCAGAGGATCAGTGAATGGTTCGGTGCTTGTGAAATATGGTACTTATACCGGTCTGGCGCGTTTCACGGTCTGGATGCCGGAGTTCCCTTTGGATCTCCAGGTGCCGGACACTAGGCTCTCCCAGTTGAAGTCTTGGAAGGTTCCCGATTACCAACCGAGGTAGTGTTATAATACTGGTTAAGTTCGAACCGAATAATTAATGTGATCACTTTGTATTCTCTTCAGCAGTGTAAAGGCGCGCCGCAGGAAACGATCGTACGGCTCGAGCTTCAGGACGGGATCGATCCCAGACGATATGGGTAACATCGTCGATAGACCGAACTGCCGTCTTCGGTATCAGCAAAGCTCCGTCGATGTATATGCTCATTTCATGGCAAGCGATCACGATTCCGGCAGGACGTCCTACCTAATCAACCGCAGGACCTGGCTTAGGGTCACAGATCTGGTGTTACCGCTACTTAGGGTTTCCGACCCGCGGATTGCGAGTCTCCATGGGAGGGTGTTACAGGGCAGAAGCGTCGGTCGAACGGAAGTACAGGTAATTGAAAATAAAAGTGATGAAAGGCTAAAGGTGGATGGATTGTAATTGGGTTGAGTGAATTCAGGTTTTATCGCCGATAACGGGTCGCGTGATCGGCGCCAAAGAGGTGAGGGTGGGTAACGATAAGGTCGGATTATCCAGGCTCTCGGTGCAGGTCGTTTCCGGTTTGCAATTGAACATTTCACCTGACAGCTCCATCGAGAACGGTTATGTGGCGGAAACCAGCGTCACCCGTAAATTGACAGCCCAATATCAGGTATTATATAACATATTCACCTAAAACAAACCGATCTTTAACACTGAATTGTGTTTGTAGGAGGGCTTGTTGGATATCGAGCTGGAGTTTTCGGATGGAAGCAAAACGCCTCTTAGGGAAGTGGTGGATACCGATTACCATTTGGTGGTGGAGAGCTTAGACCCTGAGGTCGTTGCATTCGCCCCGATGGTCGCATCGCACCATCCGAGGGTGATTGCTGTGGGCGAAGGAAGCGGAGATCTCCTTCAAGTTACCCTAATGCTCTCCGAAGAATGCAGAGCCGCCGCTAGATCTAAGTCTAAAGGAGGACCTTTAGCGATGGCTTCCGCCTCCGTGGTCGTGGATTTCAGCAGTTCCGACATTCCACATCGACCGGACATCCTGCAGAACGACGGAGGTTCTTTCAGCGGCGGCAAGGGACGCGAGTTTTCCGATTTACAGGATATCCTGAAAGGTAAATAACGTCATTCGTAATAGAACTTGATGTAAATTTAATTAATTTCATTACTCCAAAGACGATGGCAGGATCGAGCCGAACGTTCAGGCAAGACAATACCAGGGAACTAAGGGCTCTTCGAGACACCAGCCGGCAATGCTCATGACTCCTTTAGAAATCAGCATGTACGTTTTGTTGGCAGCGTTTTGCTTCGCCATTGTGGTGAGTTATTGAGATGTAATTGAATTGCCTTAATGCAATTAGCGGCGTTTTAGGTATTTGTGGTGTCCTGTGTAGTCTACGCTTCGAAATTTAAGCCCTCCGACGTGGCGATCGAGGGATTAAAAGCTACTCCAATTAGCACCGCCGGCGTCGGTTTCAATCAGCGGAAGCCCCGTGAGACCACAACTAATGCCCACGATTGGGTCTGGTTAGGTATGAAAGAAAGTATGTGTTGTTTCTCGCTTTACTACTTAGACCACATCTTCAGCTATCACAAAAAACAACAATACACTTTAAATATACTAATTGTTTTTTTCTGCAAACTCATTTGAAGGTCGCGCCACTCTGGAACCATCGTCCAACCGAAATTCTGCGGTCATTAATAATAACACGAACGAAATGCGCATCACCACGAATCCTCTGAACATGAATTATTGCGATCCGGACGATTGCGTCGCCACCAGTTTCAGCAATCCCACTCACATAGAACTACCGAGCAAACCAGCGGAGAGCAGGATTGTAGACAGCAGCACGTACTGCAAGAGCAAAGCCGGTGGTCGGACCACCTCAGTCAGCGTTGACATTACCGGCATTGAAACAGCCGACGACGAATTGGAAGTGTGGTAAGCTTAAATAAAAATTACTTTATTCATAATATTCCTTCATATTGATCTTAATTCTCTAATAACTAATTTGATGCGTAAGCTTGGGAAATTCTCCAATTCATATGCAACAACTTCCTAGGAACAAACCGACTCCACCTCCGCCATTACCACCGCACGGTCTACCATCTCCTGACATTAGCATGGCCGAAGAATACAAACCTCCGGTTCCACCGCATCGCAACATTGGTGTTACCACCGCCCAGAACGACGGATCTCCGAGGAAGCATCACCATCATCATCACCACAGGAACAGCAAACAAGTCAAAGAATCACCCAAGATCATCGCCGAGGATATAATCGATTCAAATCAGCGTAGCGTCTTCGAGTTCGACGATGAACCGGCGCATCCACCAAGGAACAACACGCCTTCCGACGGGGTGGTTTTCAGGCAGAAACCTGTTTCCGACGATGATGTGATCCAGTTCGTGCAATACCCAAAATCTCCTACCAATGGAAACAGTAATATTACCAAATTTGCAATTTCCAATTAACAACGACGTCTGTTTTTATAGATCGCAACAGCGCCGAAGTTAAGCGCGCCACAATAGTCGGTAATCCGATGTTCAGCGCTGACGATAATCAAGGAGAAGAGACCGCAGCCGACATTGCCGGATTGGATGGTCTCCAATTAGATATGGATTACGATCAAATCATGCATTACTTTGATAATCTAAAGGTCAGTTAAATCGACAACCAGCGAATTTCATAAGCAAAATTTCACAAAAGTCAAGAAATTCAGTATCAAGATTCATACATGTTACTACCATTAATATTCATTAATATTTGTAAATGTTAACGAGCTTTTTTTTATTTTCTTTTTGCAGGAATCAAATGCCTGAGTAGAAGAGATCATTGCAAAGATCCGAAGCATTCTGTTATCGTTCAGTAAGCAATATCGTATGAATGCTCTGAACGGTAACACCTCCACGATGCAAGCGCACTTCGAAGAGCAAGAGGAAGATGACGTTGTGGACGAAGAGGCGAACATAAACCGCCGTTTCGACTACTTCTTCGACTACCTCAGCGAGTCTTACGCCTAAGACGCGTAAACACTCAAGACGGACACATAGCCAAGTCAATTAATGATCGGAAAGACGCTTCAATGCCTTCAACAAAATAATATCAATGAATGAACTAACAATTAACAGTAATAATTAACCGATGAAAAAAGCAGTAAAAACAGCAGCAAACTAAAACTATATACATATATAAAGAAAGTAACAATGATATATAAATATATTAGTGAGACTGATACGTTGATTGTTTTTTGTAAATAAAAGGTTGGTTAATTTCTATTTGCAAAAAGTATTTAACCGAAATATTTATATATATTATATGGAAGCCGTTGGAATGTTGCGATTAGTGGATTCGCGTGTATGTATATAATATATATAACAATATGTATCAGATACATATATTTATTGGAACCTCTGGGGCAGTTAATCTGATATTAAATTGATTGGTGTGTATGGATGTGCTGAAAGAAGTAAAAAATAACTTGCAAACTTGGAGGAATGTTTGGGAATTTTGCAGTGGTCGCAAAATTTAATTAAACATAAGTAATTATGATAACTTAATGTTAACTGAATATTATAAATATATATATATATGTAACTAATCATCTAGTCAAATGGAAAAGAAAAGGAAACATTAGCTTTACTTGACTGATATTTGTAACCAACAAAGATGTAATGAGGAAAAAAAAAATGAATATGGATATGTGAAATTTAAAGAAAATAATATTAATAAGAGCAAGAACCTGTCTTCAATGTTTTTTAGGTTTTAGTGAGAACGTGAGGAAGATTCATGTGTGGTTAGAGTGTGTGTGTAAAAGAAAGTGAGAAAGAGCAGCATATTTAGAAGCACAAAATATTGTTCCTGTAACTGAAAGAAATGAATATTCTAAGGGTGTTGTATACATGTACTAGTAAATGTATTTTGTTTTTGTTCAAATTATTGAGACTTGCGTTCGTATTTCCTTCTCTTTGATTAAGTAGAGGCATTAATTTATTCGTGTAAATAGTTTATCGTTTTCTTAAATGTTTTTTTTTGTTTATATACATATAAATTACAATTAGTTTTCTTGTATTATTATGATAAATCAATTACTTGTGTGGAGCAGGCACTGATATACGTACCGAAATTTATATATTATATACATGTATAATTAAAACTTTATATTAATTATAACTAATGAGATAACACAAAAAAAAAACTTAATTATAATATGAAGTGAAGTATTGGAGATTGTGAGAGTAGAATCGTAAGCTTTACAAAAAAAAAAAATAAATATATATATATGAGAGAAGAAGAAAAAAAAATGATGATGATGATGACAAAGAAATCGAAGTTATTGACGCATTGATTATATTATATTGTATTTATAAACAAACAAAAAAATAATGGCTATATTTGTATGCTTTGAATATTATAACATAAACGTGGACGAGTATAGTAATTAAATGAAGACTAACTGCTTTAAACGATAACTCGAGAAAAGAGAAAGAATTCTAGTCCGTAACAAATAATAAATCCATAATTCTCTCCGGCTGCCCAAAAAGGATCGTCGTGTTTTTTCTATCCATTCTTTCAGTAACTTATTTTGATCGCAGCAGCCTCAAGTATTCTACGGGTGATTTTTTGTTTTTAATGTTTTTTGTTTTGTTAAACCACCAAATGTATTGTGTTTTAATTTAATTTACGCAGGCTGTACTTTCCTGTTTCCAAGTATTAAATTGGGATGAGATCTGCTGAAGAGAAATGCAGCTTGCTACAATTGCCATTCCAAAAATTAAATATATATATTGAAGTAATGAAAGAAATGCATATTTATGTGTGAAAAAAAATTATTAATATAATTATAATTAAATGAGATGTTATTATTATTATTATATAATTGTTCAGAGACCTTCCAGTTGTTTCAATATGAATTGTAATCAAGCTATTTTATGTATTATAGAAGAGAAAAAACAACAACTGCAACAACAACAATTAATTTTTACAGTGTATAAGAATTGTATATTTCCTCTGCTTGTGTATGTGTATATATATACATAATAACTCGAAAGTCAAATGAATAAAATGAATTTGTAGCAATTTATTGCTTGTATATTGTTCACGAAATCGTGGAGAACACGTCTCAGTCAACACTATTTATTATCAATTGCAATAATCGATTATAATACACTTTGGACGTTGATTGAAACAATATTGTGTGTAAGATTTAGGGGCTCACAGATATTATGAGAAAAATCCGTAACTCGAGAAATAAATGTGCTATAAAATTGTTCCCTTTTTAATTCTTATTCAATTGAAACCTTTTCATTCATCTTTTCATCTCTCAAATGTGTAGATGCTGAAAATGCATTCGTTTTCTTCGATGTCTACGTTTTATTATAGTTTTTTTTCAGGATAACCACGCAAGATAATTACGTAATTCAATAAGAATCATTCAAAGGAGACCTACATCTTTCTAATGAGCATTGAATAGATCCTGAAAGTTTGTGAAATTTTTCTGCGCGACTGTTACAGTCAACCAAATGTTGTAGGTTGATGATTACTATTTCTTGCATAACCCAACAACCACATCATATAAATAGATCAGGATATATGCAAATTATAGAGGAAAGGCTCATCATTCCAACGAGACTACTGACATATTTCTTCTATCATCCGTTCGTCTGCTACGAGCTGTCCAAACTGACGCTGATGAAAATGCAACATCTTGTTTTATATATTTTAAGGATATCCACGCAAAATAATTACATAATTCAACAGGAATCATACTATTTAGACTACTAACTTAAGATTGAGTGATCTAAATGAAAAATAAATGTGATATAAATTGTTCCCTTTTTAATTCTTATTCAATTGAAACCTCTTCATTCATCTTTTGATCTCTCAAATGTGTAAGTGCTGAAAATGCATTCGTTTTCTCCATGTCTACGTTTTATTATAGTTTTTAAGGATAACCACGCAAGATAATTACGTAAATCAATAAGAATCATTCAAAGGAGACCTACATCTTTCTAATGAGCATTGATATTTTCATTTGTATAAGCCCTGAAAGTTTGTGAAATTTTTGAAATATTTCTGCGTGGCTATTAAAGGCAACCAAATGTACACGTTTGTATGTTGATGATTACTATTTCTTGTATAACCCAACAACTACACCATATAAATAGATCAGGAGATATGAAAATTATAGAAGAAAGACTCGTCATTCCATCGAGACCACTGACATATTTTTACTATCATCTGTTCGTCTGCTACGAGCTATCCAAAGTGACGTTGCTGAAAATGCAACCACGCAAAATAATTACATAATTCAACAGGAATCATACTATTTAGACTACTAACTTTAGATTGAGTCATCTTAATGAGAAATAAATGTTCTATAAAATTGTTCCCGTTTTAATTCTTATTCAATTGAAACCTTTTCATTCATCTTTTGATCTCTCAAATGTATAGATGCTGAAAATGCATTCGTTTTCTTCGATGTCTACGTTTTATTATAGTTTTTTTCAAGAAAACCACGTAAGATAATTACGTAATTTAATAAGAATCATTCAAAGGACACCTAGATCTTGAATAGGTCCTGAAAGTTCGTGAAATTTTTGAAATATTTCTGCGTGGCTATTATAGGCAACCAAATGTACACGTATGTATGTTGATGATTACTAGTTCTTGTATAACCCAACAACTACACCATATAAATAGATCAGGAGATATGAAAATTATAAAGAAAAGACTCGTCATTCCAACGAGACTACTGACATATTTCTACTATCATCCGTTCGTCTGCTACGAGCTATCCAAAGTGACGTTGCTGAAAATGCAACATCTTCTCGTTTTATTTATTTTCAGGATAACCACGCAAAATAATTACGTAATTCAATAGGAATCATACTTTTTACACTACTAGTTTTAGATTGAGTCTTCTGAAACGATTCTAGCATCAATTTTCGAAGTTCCTGAACATTACTGAAAATTTCGTCTAATCATAGATTAATAAAAAAAAAGCGATTTTCTTTAATAACTCAAAAACTAATTAACATTTTAATGATTTTATTGCATAATCAGGTGCGGGCAATCGGTTTGAAACTCGTTACCTAACATACGTTGTGATCCGACCACCTTTCAGTTTTCCCAGTTTTTAATAATTTCTCCGAAAGTTACGAAATTTTCTAGCATTATTGTTATTGCGTAGGATGGGTGCCACCCTTACGCAGAGTATTATGCAAGAAAAGTTACGTAATGTTCTTTATGTAACGGTGATTTGTTATGTTTCAGTATTTAGTGAATTCCTCGAGAACGTAAATAATTACATCACATTGCTAATCTAAGTTAGTTAGTAACATTACAATGTAAACTAATAGTTTTTGAATCTAGAATAATTAAGATTAATTATTTACTTTGCTAATGAATTTAAAAAAAATGTTCTGACAATTGCCAATGGATGTCAATCAGAAAACATATTAAATAATTCATAACTTTGTTAGTAATGACGCTACAATTTAATAGATTTAAATAATTTATTATGTAATTAAAGCCGCGCATTTTGCCTAAATTTCATTAACAATTAAGGCCTTAATTGTAATTTCAAAATATGTGTCATCTCTTGGCCATCTTGCAAAGTTTATAGTTCAGCCGTTTTGGCGCTACTCAAATGAGAGATTCATAATTAGCGGCATAATTAATGACTTGTATTATCTGAAAGGTAAAGATTCATTAGTGTTGCATAATGGTAAGATCATTTCATTGATTTTTTTTAATTAATTATTTAGTTATGAGCGTTTAATTATTTAATATGAGCGCCATCTGATGATAGATAGTCGAACTATTTTCAAATTTGTAAGCTTAGGAAAATCGAGTGTCTTCAAAAATCATCAATTTTCTCAATAACTATATAGAATACAATTATGGATGAGCACGAAAATTAATGCTAAATGTTTGGGCTTTCCAACGTGCCATTTGTCATGTTTGTAACTATTGCCGATTTCCTGTAATTTAATTTTCAAACTTGATTTTTTTTTTCTTCTAAAAAGCTTTACACAACACAATTATGTGGTACACAATTCAGTATATAACTGAACGATTTCTCATTTTAAAGTATCCAGGATTCGTATGTTTCGCATTCTCAAGATGCTGAAGGTCGCCTAACATAATTTTCGATCTATAAACCGTCATCAGTTCAGGCAGAATAATCTAT